CTCGAACTGTTTGGGATGGGTCAGCCTCCAAAATCCCCTCAAATCCTCGTCAGATATTGCTTTAGGTCGACCGCTATGAGGTTCATCTTCAAGGCTGAAATCTCCAGAACGAAATTTGTTGAACCATTGCCGCACAGTGCTTTCTGTTTCGATTGCGGATTGCCCCAATTTATAGTCGAAGAAAAAAAATCGTCCGAAGTGCTCTTTTGACATGCTTCAAAAAGTCTTGGGAAAAGGGGGTTTAAGCAATGGTGAAACGGCAATTATACCATCAGATAGCGCAAAAAATTCTCTTCAGGATGTACTACTGAGACGCAAGGGAGAATGAGTTTTTAATCAGCAATGAATGTACAAAAAATAGTAACACAAAACGCTGAGAACTTTCCGGACAACCTAATACTATCTCACCGACTTTTCAGGTTGGCCGTCCATCAAACATGCCACAAGCTCAGCCCATCATAGAAATGGTTCAACAGGACGCGAAAAGATACCACAGGTAAATGATTCCCGTTATATTGCTTTGAAAGGCTCTTCAATCACGGTTCAATTTAAATACTTCTCAATTATATGTTTTTAGGTATAACGTTTTCGTATTCGTTCTTCTAGCGGCGCCACCTGTGTTAATTTGATTACTAACCCTGTTTATTTTTTTACTTGAGGGAAATGTTAATCAACTGGCTCTACTCGATTAGACCTCTCCCGCTTTATAGTATTCTGACCAACAGTGTATTGAATTGGAGCGATATTTGATTGAAATGCGTTGTGCTCAAAATTCAACAAATCGTTTACCGCTTTTCATTTTACAGAAGCAGTAAAGTAAAGCGGCATGTCAGTGGAAGACTATCGCTATCAGCTGCAATGTTTTAACTAGTAGAGTCACTCAGTGTTTGCATAGCATTCCTATTCTAAGGTCAGAGTCATAACGAACAAACAATGACTTTTTTACAATTACAGAGTTTACGTGTCTTCAGTACACCCCGACCTCTCGGAGAGCGACCTGAAAAGTGTGTTCGAGGCATTTGGAGAAGTGGTCAAGTGTCAGCTAGCTAGACAGAGTGCAACTGGAAAAGGAAGCCATCGGTATGTAATGCTGGCTTTCATTATTTATCCAGCTTTCTGTGGTGTAGAGACCCTCGAGAAAAGCTCTTTCTCTTTTTCGCCAGGTTTATTATGCCGAAGTTGAGGGCAAACTGTACGATTGCCTGAGAGATGGATTCTTTCCTTGAACAAGGTGCATAGAATCACATCCGTTAGCGAGTCGGGAGTGCCTGTTAAGGATTGTAGGGTTGCCTGGTGGCTCGGTTGCCTCCGGCCACCATTAGGATACATCGTCCGTGATACTCCAGCTGATCCGACCCTCTTATCGAGGTAGTGTCCGGAGAGCTTGAACGGTGAGGCTGATGCTTCTCTTGAGGTGATTTAACTATAGGATCCGATGTACTATAGTCTGATATCACCTCGGAATAAGGCTTCACTACCTTCACTCAAATCACAGCTCACTATCGTCGGTGAGTAGGACGCAGATGAGGATGTACGGGGTCGTTAGGAATGACGTCGTCGCATGGGGGCGGAGACATGTTGAACCCAATCAAAGCAGTCACAGCGCCTGATTCCGATATACACGCGCATTTGAGTGCAGGTGTGGTGCCTTTTTCTGCGGATAAGCCTTTACGGGCCGTTGTTCTCGAAGAGCTGACCTGTCAGGTTACGGGTAGTTGTGTCCTTTGATGTTTTGTGAGTGATTTCAAACTTTGTTGGCTTTCCCATTTAGCCTGTCCCGGCCCGTATAATTTCCGCTGTCCATGTAAAATTACCGTGGGGTGGGCGGGGTTTCTTATTATGTTGCGGGGCAGCTCATAGAGGCTCGAGATCTTGTTCCCGGCGTGATCAAATGGCTTAGTGGCTAGTGGCAAACCCATCTTCTTTTGGAGGGAGCCCGTCCCATGTTCGAATGTGCGCTCCGGCGCGTTCGAGTCTCTGGAGGCCGTCGTCTGTGGATATAGACGGTGCGAGTGGGCGCTCCTCGTGGAAGGCCGCGGTTCACTAGCTGCCGACCGATTGAAGAAATGGCATGAAGTGGGCGAGTGACGCATCGTGCAGGAAATGAAAATCGAGAAATGGCAAAACACGTATTCTGATGTTGAAGAAATGCAGGGAAATGCTCAAGTGGTAAGAAGTGCGGAGATCCTGGCAGAAATGCAGAAGGTGGGCGGAAGATCAGATACGTAGAGATTGCTTTTCGGTCCGTGTTGCCCAGCGTTCGTGCGCAGCTTCGCGCACTTCTTGCAGGTTTCCGGCATTCTCTGCATTCTTCAAATTCGATACGTATTAATGCTGTTTTCGTAAGTTCTGCACTGTTCCGCAACACCATTTCTTTCCTGGTTCTTCATCTTCAGACTGCAAGCTATAGACACGGCTTTACTTGTTAGCTGCGAAACCGTAACCAGGTACGAAAGTCTTTTCTGCTCTTCAGTGATCTTTCTGTGTACCAACCCCTCTTACTCTGCGCTGCAACTTTGGTGGTCATAAACTTTTTTATAAAACGTCATTTGTTTGATGTAAGTGTCTTTGCTAAGAATGTGACGTAAATTTAGTGGATTGTGGATTATATCGACTTTCAGCGATCCGCGCAATGAACGAATCCATCGCGCGGCGATTGAACATGTTGTGGATGCTTGTGTACAGTTTGAAGTGGTATCTGCGTGTTTTAATCAATTGAGATCAGTCGAAACCAAGTTATTTGATCGGAATTCAGTCAAGTAATACAAAAGTTGTTAACCTTAAATAGCCTTTATGTGGTAACGTAGCTATTCTTTCAGGTGGGCCCGTGTGCAGTACACCAGCCGAATCTGCTGGACATATCTGGCAACCGAAAGACTAGGCCGTCTTGGCCACGGGCCGTGCTGGCTGCAGGCTGCAGCTGCGTGCAGTGGCTACAAGTGATGGCTGCAGAAGCTGCTCAGGAGTGAGTTCATTTTCGTTGGCGGGCTGTTATCCCGTGTAAGGCATGGCATGATGACTCGTGGGCGGGGCGGTGCGCGCCAAACGGACAGTCGGTATAGAAGTGGGTGTGGCCAAACACCCTCTCGCATCTCTTCTACCAATGAGGTTGGCAGTAACCGCCCGCCCCAGCCATCGTGCTCACTGCTCTTAAAGTAGTCACCGCTAGTTCTTCCGGTTTTTTTTACATTATTTTCGAATTTGACATTATCACTATGCTTTTCCAGGGAGTAAAAACAAATCAGGGATCGGGATCCAATTCTCCGCGCCCAATGAGTCCAGCAACTATGATACAACCACCTCTAGCTGCGCTATCCGTGACACCTCCAACCGTCGCGACTGTTACACCAACAATCGTGAATCCTACGTTGGCGCCCCCTTCTTTGGCCGTACCACCACCACCCGTAGCCGTTGCTAAGCCGCAGTTGTACAACGTTAGTTACATTTTGGAGATTCTTTGATTTTTTTCCTTAATCAGATGTGGGTGCAGTTCGGCGACGGGGGGGGGGGCGTTTTGCTGTTTTGCTACTTTCTGTCGACGTGACGAGCCGTCAAGTTTAGACCTGTGAAATCTTGTGAAGCCATGAAGTGATACCAGCTAAAGTTTATAGAAAATGCTTGCCAACTCTTGTAGAGCAATGAAAACCATTCCTATTTACCATGGTAGCTCGACGAGCTTGCTTCAGCTTCACAAGAGTTCACAGGTGTTCACCAGAGTGAGACTTGTAAACAGGAACTAGTGGAGCAGCGAAAGCGCAGATGCCCCCCGTTGCCGGATTGTCCCCAGATTTCTCTTTTTCTGTTTTTTTTTGCTAAACTCACAGTCTCATTTCAGCCCCCTCCAGTGATTCCAGCAGCAACGCCAATGGCGTACGGCTACGGTGTTCCCCCACCACCTATGAATGGTTATCCTGTAGCTCCACCTGGTGCTCCAGCTGTGAGTGTGGTAGGTTTATTTTCCTGTACAGCTCCGATGAGTTGTCTCGCCTTCAACTTATAGCCTGTTTTCCAGCCACCTGTCCCTCCTCCTACGCTCCATCGAGGATTTGCTGGATTCGCTCAGCCAGCTGCTCCTGTACCACCGGCGAGTGTCCCACCACCGACAACCATTGGTGTTCCTGTTCCTGGTGTCCCTCCGATAACTCAAATGATGCCGCCGCCGCCTCCTCCTGCAGCTCCAAGCTCGGCGCCCAAAGGAGAGCGTTCATTTGAGGAGAAGGTGAGTTACTTTTCGCTGAAGGTTTCAGATCTAGAGCTAAGCTGTTTATACCTGTGGATTTCTGATGCGTTCTGATTTCTGATGCATCATGCACTTTCTGACTCATTTTGTGAATATTCAGATGGAGCGCATCTTAGAACGCACGAAAGCAAAACAAGAAGCGAAGCTTTCCCTTCCGGTGACCTTTGGCGCCATTGATCCTCTGTATGCACCCAAAGACCCACTTGAAAGCAATGAAGAGTCGGGCGGTAATGTTGTTTTTGAAATTTCTTTTTTTTCTTCGCACTATTTCAAGATTAGTGAGGAAAATCCTTCCATTTGTTATAGATACGCTCGCCATCACTGGAAAATCCAACCAAGATGTTCAAAGTATGGCATTGGCACTCATAGGAGACAGTGCATTGGCCTTGAAAGGAAATAAGGTACTGTATAACAAATTTCGATTTGTCGTGAACGATTTTCGAAATGACTACCTTATTATTTTTTGCTGTTAGAGGTTCACTCGGCTTCAAAGAAGTGTCATTTTTGCGATTGTCGCTTTTGTTGAAAGGATGATATTGGTTTCCCTTTGCTCCGAGTATTTCGGATTGTACTTTCAGTTGAATTTGCAATATTGGATACCTGAATGTTAAGTTCCATTAGAGAACTGACATTTTTTCTTCAAAAAGTTGCAGCATTTTGTTGCAGATCTCGAGGCACTCAAAACCGGCGCTGTTCAGCAAGAGGGGGCATTTCCCTGTTCAGATGTATTCAAGCCGATGCCTTCTGTAGAGACCTGTAAATTTCTGTAAAGCTATGCGGTAGCACGAGCTTCGTTTACTGTTTACAAGAATCTACAGGTGTAACCGAG